GAAACACTGCTTTGAATTTTCTGCTTCATTACTTCCCAGTGTTTGGGTCATTTTTTTAGACATGATCAGCCAGAATAATACTGCATTAGGATTAATCATATTGACATATTTTATTTTCCTATTATTTCCTCTGAGTAGAACAACTTCAGCTCTGATGAGGTTTAAAGAACCTCTGTAAGCTATTTCTGCTTTCCCAGTGATGGTGATGCAGAAGAAAACATGTCTGCCGTCAGCTGTGGCTGAACGGGTCTCAACACGCCGTCATTTCAGGCTGACATCATATTGCCTATCAGAATGAATCGATCTGTGTTTATGCTAATGCGTCAGAATCACTATGCCAGAAAAATAAAATCCAGAAATAAAACTGAAAAACGTTTCATTCAAAACAAGTTTTAAAGGAAAAGTCGCTCATATTCACAATTCAAACTTCTGAAAGTATTTTAACTCTGAAATGATTCCATCCTGTTCAATAAATGTGTTTTTAATTAAGAGTCATTTTCATTTGTGCTTTACTGGAGCCATCCATGTTTGTCAAAGAACACTACTGCCACCTACTGGTTTGTGACGTCACGGTGCGGTATCGGCTGTTGATCAAGTCCCAGTGCTGTGTTGTGATTTTATGTTCTATTCTATTCCCAGCCAGCTGGGAATTTATATTTCTGATACTTTAAGATGTTTATTGCCCTCCCCTATAGGGGGGGGGGGGGTAAAATATCTTATTTAATCAGATATTATTTCAGCTGTTATATACTGTTTATGAACACAGTCCTACTAACTGTGTGTTAGAACAATAGATGAAAGAGTGATTGGAGCACTAATCATGGTCAAACTGTTATTTCTGCACATTAATGAAATAAATTCACAACAACTTCTGTTCAAAATATAAGATTTTATTAACAAAAATCATTCAGCTCCAAGTCAAACATATTTCAGTTTAACACTCTTAACTAAGACTAGTAAAACTCAACTAAACTAACTACTATGTACAAAGAGGAAGGGGAAAACGGTTGAAAACCATATTACAGTTTAAGATGGATTCTGTGTTTGAAACCAAAGTTTATCTGGAAGAATTTGGGATCTGATCAAATTATGTTTTCACTAATTTTAAAGAAATTGGAAAGTTCTCAGACCAATTCACAATGCAAATCCATGAGGTGAATAAAACATTATTATTGTTTTATTGAATTATTTGCTTAATCAGGAACCAATAACCTTTAGTTAATGAATCTTTACCCTCTTTGAAATAGCTAGCAGCGAATAGACATCAGGAGGACACCACCTCTCACCTCCTGCAGCAGACTGTAGAGGAGCTGAGCAGCTCCTTTAGTCAAAGACTTAGACACCCTGTCTGTAAGAAGGAGCGCTACCGCAGGTCATTCATTCCTGCTGACTCCAGACTCTATAATAATGCACTATATCAACAATAACTCCAGTAAAAACCACTGTGCAGCTACATTATAGTTTTTTATTTATTGACTGTACAATATTATGTGCAATATGCTGAATGTGCAATATATGTGAATAGAATAGTCATACCACTACCTCACTGTTGCTCCTTACCTACTACACTTTAACGTTAAAGTAAATCCACCTGTATATAAGCCATCCGGATTGTACATATTTTTATTTTTTATTTCTTATTTTCATTTTGTGTGCGATACATGTACACTTGCAACTTAATCCTTATTTATCTCGATATACTGTATATACCTGGATATACTGTATATATATTGTTTATTGTTTATTCTTAATTTATGGAAGCTCATTGGTAGAATTCCCTTATGACAGAAAGAAGGCCACGATTCACACCATCATCATCCGGAGGGGGGAACATTTATTTACAAAACCGAATTCATACAGCTGTCTTAAACACTTCATACATTCAGCGCTATGTCCTCACATCTGTTATTTCCCCCACCTTCAATCCATTGTGGGTGGCCTTTTATAGGCTCCACATCGGACTGTGTGGATGCATGTGCACGACTGGACGCTCTTCCTGGAAATCTCTTAGCTCATGACCTGATTGCGTGCGAGTCAGCCAGTAAGAACCCTGTTTTTGCCAAGATTTGTACGTGACTCCGAGCTTGTAGACTCTGTTTACATGTTACATTCTCTGTGTTGCTAAGTGAGCATAAGGTCAGAAACAAGACTACATAACGCAGTACAACTGCTTCCATACTTGGCAAGCCAGCCAGATATTTATATTCTACAGCATTAGAGACTTTATTATTGCTAAGACTCATGCTTGAAATTCAACATGTACTGTTTTGTTGCTAAGTAAGTATAGGGCCATGTTGTAGGATACTGTAGTGGAAGAAAATATTCTAAAATAGTTAACTTTGGAAAAAGGTTGGCATTTCATTCTTCCTTTCCCAGGTCCACTCGGCGAGCTGCGTGTGGTCACAATGATAACCAGCAAGGCGTGTTGACGTCACAGAATTACAGAGTTTAATCCAATATAAGACAATGCATACACTTAGAAATAAGACTTCGAATTGACAACTTTGAACATAGCAATAAGTCAGGAAGCTTCTTAGCTAACCAGCTAAAAATAAACAAAGAAAAAACGACTATATTTGCAGTTACAGATTCAATTGGTAATACATTACAGGATCCGGAGGATATTAACAATGCCTTCCGAGATTTCTATAAATCTTTATACACATCACAGTTAAATCCATCAGATAATGATATCAAGCGATTTCTGGATAAAATAACTCTTCCTAAATTATCAGAGAGTCAAAGAGCGACCCTGGACTCACCGCTGTCTACAGCTGAAGTTCAGGAAGCATTAAAAAACATGCCAAATAATAAAGCGCCAGGTCCAGACGAGTTCCCTACTGAGTTCTATAAAGAGTTCTGGAACATTCTGGCCCCAACGTTCCACAGAATGCTGCAGGAAACTCTAGATAATGGCAAATTTCCAGTTAATATGAATTCTGCCACCATTAGTCTCCTGCTTAAGCCAGGCAAAGATCCTATGTTTCCGACCAGCTATCGTCCCATATCCTTAATTAATGTGGATATTAAAATAGTCTGTAAAGCTTTAGCAAAACGGTTAGATAAAGTCACTCCTCTCATAATCCACCCAGATCAAACTGGTTTCATTAAAGGGAGGCAGTCAGCTGCTAACACACGCAGACTGCTGAATTTAATAGATTATTCCTACAGCAAAAATCTTAAATCCTATATATTGTCCTTAGATGCAGAAAAAGCATTCGATAGAGTAAACTGGAAATTTTTATTTGCTACTCTACATAAATTTGGCTTTGGCAATTCCTTTATAAATTGGTTAAAAATATTATACAGCTTCCCAACAGCCTGTGTCAGGACAAACAATCAAACATCTTCCAGTTTTTGTCTCCAGAGGGGCACCAGACAGGGATGCCCACTCTCCCCCTCACTTTTTGCTATTTTTATCGAGCCTCTGGCTGCTACAATCAGACAAACAAATATGATTAAAGGTATAAAAGGCATGAAAATGGAGCATAAAATTAGTCTTTACGCAGATGATGTATTACTTTATCTCCAGCACTCAAACACTTGCCTCTCTCAAGTGATTAGTTTACTAGAATCTTTCTCAAAAGTCTCAGAATACTCTATAAATTGGTCTAAATCTGTAATACTACCAATTAATTGCTCTCTACAGAATCCCTCAGGTCTACAATTGCAATCAGGAAATATCAAATATTTGGGAATTACTGTGTCATCTAAACTAGCTGAGTTACCAAAACTCAACCACACCCCTCTTTTAATGAAAATAGAAGAGGACCTAGAAAGATGGAAATCGCTTCCGATCTCCCTTTTGGGTCGGGTAGCCTCAATTAAAATGATGGTCTTACCCAGAATTAACTACCTATTTTCAATGATCCCAAATAAACCATCAACCGAATGGTTTAAATCTCTAGATTCTTCCATCTCTAAATTTCTTTGGAAGGACAAACCCCCTCGTATCAGCTTAAAAACACTACAGAAAACTAAAGACAGAGGGGGACTAGATTTACCTAACTTCCAATACTACTATTTAGCAAATAGATTACAATACATCTCTAAATGGATAAAACATAATCCCTTAGATGAGCCCTGGATAGACACAGAACAGGATATATGCAGTAATATAATAATCTCAGATTTGCCGTTTATTAGCTCTAAGATCAAACGGCACCCATGTTTCAAAAATATTAACATCAGCTCTTCCCTGACAGCATGGTGGGAATTTCTAAAAATAACGAACTCATCACTTATCCCGTGCAGTCGTACACCCATCTGGAATAACCCTGACATTCTACAAAACAATAATGTGATAAACTTTCCGTACTGGAAGAATAAAGGTATTACATATCTGGATCATTTGTTTGAAGGTACGGAGTTTATCACATTCGCTAGATTAAATTTGCAATATGGCATTAACAAAAATAAATTCTTAGAATATGAGCAAATCAAAGCTATAATTAGAAATAAATTTAAGCATATTGATGGAGGTTTAATAATTCCAAATAAAATATCAGAGTTTCTAGAGTTAACCCCCCCCAAACTACTGTCTAAGTTATACAGGACACTGACTAAACTGGATGATACAATATCTCTTCCTATTACTAAATGGGAGGAGGATTTATCAGTCAGCTTTGAACAAAACATCTGGGCTCAGATATGTCTAAGAACTTTTAACATGACCAGAAACCCCAATTTACAATTAATACAATACAAAATCCTCCACAGAGTGCACTATACAGGTCAAAGATTATTCAAGATGGGTTTTGCGCAATCTAACATCTGTCCACAGTGCACAGGCAATCGACTTGATAATTATTTTCATGCGCTATGGTTATGCACGCCGGTTCAGAGATTCTGGGTACAGGTATGTAAGGATCTATCACTGTGCCTGGGTTGTAAAATCCTAATTTCCCCTTCAGTTTGCTTGCTGGGTGACTTTGAGGGAAGCTCTATGGGAAAAAAATCGGTTTGCTTGGCATTCACTGCATTATGTATCGCAAAGAAAACTATCCTCATGAATTGGAAGAGTAAGGATAAACTCAACATCAATCAGTACAGAGATCTGTTGTTGGATCATATTAATCTTGAGACAGCATCTGCATCCCCATCAGACCGATCTCTCTGGGCTCCCTTGATCGGCTCCATCACTTAGTGTAGTGGGGGGCTATGGGGTGCGTCTTGTGGGGCGCGGGGGCTAGTTCGGGGGTCCTTGGGTCCTGGGGGCTCGGGGGGGTGCTCGGAGCGGGGGTGCCTGGCGGGTCTGGCCCGGGGGACTGTTGCCCCCGTCGGGGCGGGGTCTGGGGCGCCGCGGGGGGGTCCTGCGGCGGCCGCGTGCGGTGCTCTTGGGGGGTTCCGTGGTGGCGGACGTGGGCTACTGGCCTGGTGGCTGTGCTGCTGCTGGGTGGGGCTGGGCGCCGGGCATCGGTTCTTTTGTGGTGCTGGCCGGGGTGCTTCTGCTCTGCGGGGCGTCGGGGCGTGCCTCGTCTTCCGGTGCCGGGTTTCGGTGGTTGGCCGTGGTGCTTGCCGTGGTTGCGTCGTCCGGGGGGGGGCGTGGGTGGTCGCGCCTGTGGCCGGGGTTCGTGTGTGTCTGTTGTGGGCGGGTTGCGGGCGTCGGGGGTCCCTTTGGAGTGCCCCCGGGTCGGGGTGTGGCTTCGCTCTGTTGGGGCGGGTGCCGGTGACGCGTGGTGCGGTGCATCGTGCGCGGCTTGGGAGTGGAGGGTTGCTCGGTGTTTGGCGGCGGGGGGGGGACGGGCCGTGGCCGGCGTGGCCGTCCTCCTCTCGGCGGCCTGTGGGCGGTGCGGGGCCGGAGCGGGGTGGGTCGTGCTGCTTTCGCGCCGGGCGCGGCGGGGGTGGTGGGGTCGCGTCTGCTGCTTTCTTTTTGCTGCTTGTGCCGGCTTCTGGCGGCTGGGGCGGCCTTGCTGCTCTGGCTCTCTGGCGTGCGCCGGGTGGGGCTGCTCTGTCCTTTGCTTTGCCTTGCGGCTGTGTTTGCTGTGGTCGGTGGGGGCGGGGTGGTTTCGTTGTGTTTTTGGGTGGGGGAGTCCGCCTGGGGGCTTGGTTGGTGCCGTCGGTTCGTCCTTGTCGGCCTTCCGGTGTTGTTTCTGTTGGGGCTGCTCGGGCCCCCGCATGCCGGCGGTGCGCTGCCGGGGGGATTCCTGTTCGGCGGGCTTGCCTGTCTCCTGGGAGGGCAGGCATGTTGACTTTTCTGGGGAGGAGCATCTGGGTGGAGGGGTCCTCGTGGTGTGGCGGTGGGTGTTGGGCACTGGCTTGTTTGCGGCCGTTCTTCTCCGGTGAGGGGGAGAATATTATAATTTTTTTGTTTTTGTTTTTGTTTGTTTTTTGTGTGGGAGGGGGTGTGTGGGCGGGGGGATCGGGGCTTGGAGTGGGGCTCGGGATTTGCGCTTAGCTGTGTTGTGTGGCTTTCTTCTTCTTCGGATTGGTGCTGTGGGACCGGTGTTGGGGGGAGTCGTTCGGGGGCCGGGGTCGGGGTGGGGGTGCTGGCGCCGGTGCCGGGGGTTTTTGGGCATTGCCCGGCCCTACTGCGGGGTGGGTCTGGGGTGGCTCCTTGGGCCTGGGATCCCTGGGGCGCATTGCCCTTGGGGGGGGGTCCCCGGTGGGGGTTCGGGGGTTCGGGTTCTGTGGGGAGTGCTGCTTGGGTTCTGGGCCGGTGTACGCCTGGCTGTCTGTCCCTGCTGCCACGGCCTCTGGTGTGCCGGGGTGCCTCGGGGCCTGCTGGGCTGGGGGGGGGCATGGACATTAACACCTATGGCAAGTGCTTACCCCCTCACGGGTTTGCACTCTGTAAGTGGGGGAAGGGGAGGGAGGGGGAGTAGGTATGATCTCGGCCTGGATGTCTTCTGTCGCTTGTGTGGTGAGTAGCTTGATTGTTTTTGTAGGGGAGGGATTACATCTCCGGAGGGGGGGTGGGGGGTGGTGATAGAGGGAAGAAGATCTTTGAAGGGCTTTGGGTCTGGCTCCCTGTCTTGGTCCTGGTCCGTGCTGCCCCCTGGTGGGGCTTCGTCCGGGGTGGGGGCTCTGCGTGTTGCGCGTTGGCTGGCCGGCTGGGATTGTCCCTTCCCTTATTCATTTATTTATTTATTATTATTATTTTTTTTCTTATCTTCCTTTTATATTTTTTTATGTATTTATTTATTTATTTATTTATTTATTTATTTATTTAATTTTATTTATTTATCTACTTATTTATTTATTTATTTTTTTTATTATTATTATTTTTTTGGATGGACAGGACGGGGGGGGGGGTGGTGGAGTCGGCTCCGTGCCCGGCTGGCTGGTGGGTCCTGCTGCCGGTCCCGTGCCCCCGGGCTATGGTGGTGAAACTGGTGGGGCCCCCTTCTCTGGGGGGGCTCTCGGGGAACGGGGGTGCCTATTGGAGTCAGCGGGGGAGCTGGCTCCCTGGGAGTGCAGCAGGCACCCCAGTCCTTTGCTCCCCATCCCCGAAATCCTCCCTCTGCCTGCTCCATCACTCGGCCACACATGTAGGTTTTTGGGGAGGGGGTCGTTACTGGAGGGCCACACCTTCTGATGACGTCCCCCACCCCAATTTTATTTTGCATTTTAGACACTTCCATCTACATCATTTTCACAACACACATCTATGTAGGGCATTTTCGGGGGGTGGGGGTCAGGGCCACCGGGGGGGGGGCTTATTTTATGGGCCTCACCACGGTCGGCCTCCTCCATCCCCTCTCGCATCTAGACATTGAGGGTTGAGGGTTGTCGAAGGGGGAGGGTGTGCTGGCACCGTCTATCTCCTGGAGGGGGGGTGGAGTGTGCCGGACACCCCCTCTTGGTACTCCCAGTTTTAATTGCATCTGAGAGCAACACGCAACAACACCACATTCGAGCGGGACGCAGTGAGGATCGGGGTCTTCTCACACCCCTGTTCTCCGGCTGCCGCCTGGAGTCTGGGGCCTGGAGGAAGAGCGGGCCACCTGGTCCGTGGTTTTGGCTGGGGCTGGCTGCGGGGCCTAGGTGGCCTGCTGGTGGCGGGGCTGTCACCTCTGCTCTCCCCAAAGAAGGTTGGATGGAGGGGCATGAAAGTGCTGGTTGAAGGTTTTTTTTTTTTTTTTTTTTTTTTTTTTTTTTTTTTTTTTTTAGGGGGGGGGGGTGGGGGGCGGTTCTGGTTGGGTGGCCGGGCGCGGGATTGGGTGGGCCCCGGTCCCGGGGGGGGCTCTTGCGGGGCGTGGTTTCCGGTCGTGGTGCGGGGTGGGGGGGGTCCGGGCTTGAAGCAGGAAAGAGATGGGTTGTGTGGCGGTGTCGCCGCTCCCCTCCCTCACATCCGGATTTTTAGGTCACTTATGGGGTCATCCCGATAGTCCCGGGGACCGACACCGGTGTCAACCGGGTTTTTGGTCATGGGTATTATTGGATGTTTGAGTGTTATGTGTGAATGTGTGTCTGCGTTGTTATTTTCTTTATTTGATTATTATTTTATTTTATTCATTTTTTTTTTTTTTTTTTTTTTTTTTTTTTCCTGTGGTAGAGTGGGGGGCACTAGGGAGGTTGAAGGCATGATGAGATGGTGTGTTTTTTTTATTTTATTTTTTTTTTTTTTTTTTTTTTGCCCAGGTTGGGGTCTCAACGCACCCTCTCCCAAATAAATTCAAGTTCGCTTAAGTGCGGTGCCCATCCCCCCGTCCTGCTCTCCTACCGCTGGCTGGCGTCGGGGGGGCTCACCGAGTGCACTGGTGGAGCTGGGGTGGTGCCCCGGGGGACTGCTTGGCATCATTCCTGGCGGCCCTCTCCACTGGCCCCGGCCACGGCGGGGCTTTGCTGGGGGCCTACTGCGTCTGGGGGTGGGGCTTGCCCTCTTGGTGCCTCGGATCCCTGGGGCTGGGACTGGATCCGCTTCGGGTGGGGCTTGGGTGTTGTTTCAGGGGATTTTCGGGGGGTCGGTGATGCCGGTGCCTTCGCTACGATGCCGGTTCCTGGGGCGTGTTTCTTCCTATGCCTGGTTCTTGTGGTATCGGTTCGGGGAGGGGGGGGGGGAGCTGCGCGGGCATGGTGGGGTGCGGGGCTTGGGTCCTGTTTTGGGCTCCGGTTTGTTCCGGCTCGCCTTCTCCTCTTGCCTATTTTATTATTATTGTATTTATTAATTAATTTATTTATTTACTATTTATTGTGTTTTTTTTTTTTTTGTTTTTTTTTTTTTTTCTCTTCTCGGTGGGGGGGAGCGGTTGCGGGCGGGTAGTGGTCTGTTGTCCACGGTCGCATTGTGGGGGCTTCCTTTTTTTTTATTTTTTTTTGTTTTCTCTTTTTTTCTTTGGGGGGTTTGGAAGTTCTGTTTTCTCGGGGGGCAGGCGGGCCTGCTGAGTGGGGGTCCTGCTGGCGGCGCGCCGCTGTGTTTGTGGGAGTATACGGGCAGGTCGGCGGGGGTAGTGTGGGGGGCGGTCCTGGGGGGCTGGCTGCGCTGGCTGGGTATCGGGTGGGTTTTCCCTCCTGGAGGCATGGCGGGGGGGCTTGCTCTGTTTCAACTGATCTGCGGCGAGGTGGGGCTGCGGGGCGGGAGGTGGGGGCCTGGGGTGGCTATGGACCGGCGCGTGGTGGGGGGGCCGGGGCGGCGGAGCTGCTCTGGCCGCGTGTCGGGGCCTGGTGCGGGCTGCGGGGGGGGTGGCGGACGTGGCTGGGCTGCTTTGGCATCGTCCGGTGGGGGGGGCGGCGCGGTTCGCTCCGCTCTGGCTTTGTGCTGCCCCTCGGGCTGCTGGGGGGGGTGGTTGCGCCGGCTGCGGTCTGCTCCTCTTGCGGTTTTGCGCCGGGCGGCTTTTCTGCTCTCGGGCTGATTCTGTGCGCGGTGTGTTTCGTTGCGCGCTGTTGGCATCGGTCTTGGTGGGGTGGGGCTGCGCTTTTGGCCGGGGGGGCATTTTGGGGGGGGTCCCGCGGCGCTCGTGGCCGGTTCGCGGCGGATGCGCATGGGCCCCGGCCGGGGGCGGGGCCGTCTTAGTGTTTTCCTGGGTGGTGCGGTCGCGGTGGGTGTTGCGGCCGGTCGCCGGGGCTTGGTGCTGGGGGGCGGGGCGTGTTTCGGTGCTCTGTGGGGCTGGGGCGTTTCGGTCGGCGCCGTGGGGGGGCTGGTGTTCGGCGCCCGGCCCTACTTCGGGGTGGCCGGCGGGGCCCGCGGACTCGTCCCCGCGGCTCCCCGGGGCGCCGGCATGGCGGTGGCTGGGGGGCTTCCTCGTGGCTGTCTCTCCTCCTGCCTTGGTGGGGTCTGATTTCCGGGGCTGGCCCCGCCTTGGTGCCTTCGCTTCTGGGGTCCCCTTGGGCGCCTGGGGCTTTGGGTCTCCCGGCGCTGGACTCAGTGCTCTGGGGGGTGTGCCTCTCCGGCTCTCCACAACCACTATTGAGCATTTTTTTCTATGGTTAAAACTTTACATGCACAAGTTCACCCTCACAAACAACTACAGGTGCTAGGCTTCAGGTACTTAGAGATTCACTTCCAAACAGAAACCCCACATTCATATCTTCAGGTAACACAGAGTACATGTCAGACTTAATAATATTACTTTAGTGATAGTTTCAAGGTGTTTGCTTTATAGTATATCTCGTACCATGTTTTTTGGTTGTGCTGTTCTTTTTTCTTTTTTTTTTTTTTTTTTCTCCATCTCATTACAGGTGTTGAAGCAGACTGAAAATGTTTTGTCATTGTCTCCTTCCTATCTCCTCTTTCTTTCATCTTTTGTCCTGTTTTTTTCTTTTTCTTTTTCCTTCTTCTTCTTCTGTTTTTCTGCTCTACTTACATTGCAGTGTCCATATGAACTGTAAAACTCCCTGCATAATTATAATAAAGCAATTTATATACATGAAACAAGTGGAGCGGTATGGCAATTGCGATACGGCTACACTTGTGAAAGTAAAATCTGTTGGGCTCCTTTTGGCATCAAGACAATTATTCTTATTGCCACCTTGCCAGACAGGACACTGTAAAAAAAAAAAAAAAAAAAAAAAAAAAAAAAAAAAAAAAAAAAAGAAAAAAAAAAAAAAAAAGAAATAAGACAATGCACAAACCTACACCAGAAACTGAAGAACAACGGAGACATACATTCAATTACCTGACATAGGAGAGAGCAAAGACGTACAAAGACATCTTTGGAGAGTTGCAAGAGCAAATCTGAATTGTTACTTCTATGTAGAAAGCTTTATCCTCTTGTATTTAATTTATTCAAATAAGGCTGGCTTTTGCTCCTCCAACCAGGAGCCATCTCTGACACTGCCTAGAGCTTCACCTAATTTACTGCAAACATCTGTGGTCGTTTGCTTCTTTGTTTTAACAAGAAAAAGCGGAAAGCTTGTCCTGGCATCTAGAATTCTTAAAGTCATAAAACACAAGATAAGCTCTCACAGACTCGATGTGGAATGCGGGGGCCTCACCATAAATCTCAAGAACAAACTTAAATTCAGTATTTTGGTTCAAGGAAAGGTTTACCTTCACAAACTTGTTCAAAATAAGAAATATGTTCACAAGGAGAGTATACAACATACCTTTTACACATGCCATAAGATTAACTGTATTAAAGACTAAAAATAATCATTTTTCTTCAACAATACATTCTGATTCTGATTTCTGATTCTGATATAAGACAATAAAACTGCTTCTACAAATGCACCTTTTTCCTCCTTGTTTGCACCTTCTTTGACTTCTATGCCAATATGTGACGAGTGAATTTCTCCGCTGTGAGATCAATAAAGCTCATCTAATCTAATATTCCACTAAATGACTGTTGGTCAGACTTGCTAATGGAAATGTAATGAGCATCTGAGGGACACATGAACACTAATGTTATATCAGTGTTTAAATCCTTAGTGAATAAAGCTTCTCCAAGCTTCAGCAACAGCTCAACACATATTCCTGTAGCATAGCATAGCATGCAGTCCATCCTGTTAGCTTTGTTCTTACTCATCATCAAAGACATGTTTGTTCTGTTCTTACCGCACCGTGACGTCACTGCTGGAAGATGGCAGGAGGGAGGGGTTACTATATTTGGGCAAAAATGGCCGCTCCCAGACTCTGTGATCACCACAGAAACTATTGTTTTATTTTTGTTTTTTTTCACTGATTAACACTAAATTCATTAAATCACCATGAACGTATTAGTTTTAGGTATAAAAATGGATCCATTGTCTATTCCTCGCTGACCGGACTTTTCCTTTAAATAAAGTACAGATTCATAAAAAATGTACTCAAGTACAATAACAAAGTACTTGTACTGCTCTGCATGATGAAAGCGGACAGAGGGAGGGAGAGAGGCGGGCTTCAGATCCAGCCGCTTGCTTTGGTGATTTTTATGTCTCCATCAACAGAAAACAGGTCAGTAGATTGGGCGCTGGTGCGACTGAAGCGCAAAATTTAGCGACAAAGGCACTAAGTTGGTGACAGTGGTTGTGGAGCATCAGGTGAACTCTGGTTACCGCAGTGAGAGTGTGTAGTATCTGTCACTAAGCAACCATGACAGCAGCACACACGGAGTTGAGGAGGTCCTGCTTAGATCCCGCCACTACAGTTTAGCTGACCTTAGTTTTTCCTGTTTTATTTTATTTTAAATCTTTGTTTAGAATGATTCTATATTTAATCGGGACAGTTGGCAATCCTACTAACAGATCAAACAGTCGAGACATGAAAGCTGCAGATTCTGTGAAAATGAACCGATGGAAACGAGCTAATTTAAAGACCAGGGCAGCGTAGGTTTCACTTAGTAGACATTCAAAATTTCCCCACTTGCCTTGATCGGCCCTTGGTTGGTCCCCTTCACTGGCCCTTGGCTGGTCCTTGACTGGTCCTTGGCTGGTCCTTGGCTGGTTCTTGGCCTGCCCTTGACTGGCCCTTGGCTGGTCCTTGACTGGTCCTTGACTGGTCCTTGGCTAGTCGTTGGCTGGCTCTTTGCTGGTCCCCTACAATTCCTTTTTAAACATCAATCTTTGTTCTAAAATATTCTTTCTGTCATGATTTGTGAACATTAAGATCTAAAGAGAAGCACCATCTCCTGGTCAGACCCTGTAATTCTGTTAAAGGGTGGAGTCAGAGTAAATAAAATATGCCAGAGGGGGTTCCTCCGGTGGCTGGGAGTTGTGGGGAAGTGGGCGGCCATTCGGCTGGCGTTTAACTGGGAACGGCCATTTTGAATGGCTGCTACTGGACATGCTGGCTGTAGGGCTCAATCTCTGTTCGATTGGAGAAGAGAAATCAGATTGATGAGAACAGAAAATGACGCTGCTCAGATACAATTCCTAAATTCTTTACAATGGAAACCAAAACAGGATCGAAGGAGAAACTGTTCAAAAATCAGTCGCAGCCGAACAGTTAAAGGGTGTGTTAAATGGCTGACTTTATTCTTTAAAATCGGTTTTTTCTCAGTGAAAACAGCTTTGATCTATTTTTCTTCACTATCTTAGCTCTGTAGTCTTCAGGGGAATCCTGGAAGATTTGTTGAACAAACTGAACTCACATATCATGATATCCTTCCCTTTGGTTTGTTTTTTCACCATCATTTCCATTTCCCCTGTACAGGTTTTATAAATTGGTGAAACCTCTGAGTAAATCACTGAACAGTGTTTTAGTATCACAGCCTTTAGCTACAGGGCTGGATGGGAATGTGAGTCAGGTCTTCAAAGAACAAAAGCTCTTTTAAATAACTTTATGGTCGGCTGTGAGATTCAGCCTCTGCGTGAGAGAGAGGAAATAAGACTGTGTGGGAGAACTAATGGTTGTCATGAGAATTCAGTCGGTGACTGTTCATGTCTCCTAAATAAAGACTTGGATACAAAAAACACAATATAAAAGAAGTTTTTGTCTGGGTAACATATATATATATATATATATATATATATATATATATATATATATATATATATATATATATATATATATATAT